AAAAAAAAAATATTCGTAGTAATATCATCTGCTTTGTGGCAAGTCTTTTCCAGATGAAAGAGATTGTGAGTTTTTGTCCTCTGKCGATGGAATGTGTTTTTTTGAATCGTTCGAGAATGACTGCATTTGCTTTGGATTGACTCCCAATCCACGCTTTCGTGCGTTTTGAAACCTTCTACTCGTTTGAAACTGTTAACAGAAGTTCAACTTCATCATCTGTCCAGGTGAAAGCGCCTTGAGCAGTTTTTTTCTGGTTTTATTGAGTTTTCTTTATCGCAGARGACATGTAATTTGATCGATATGACCGTATTTGTGATTTCAACTGTCCACACTGATACTCTTGAATACGCTAGTGTGGACGCAGTTCAATCTATATGTTTTCACACCTATTRAAAACKGATACAAACGACAACGCTTTAGTGTGAACAGTAACAATGGTCGGATTACCAATATCATTTTGTACTGTTGTTCTGTGAAAACCTTTTCAATGACATACTATTAGAATAGTGCGCATCAATTCTTTTCATGTCACATTTCAATTCATGCGTGAATTGTTTGTTGCAATGTTTACATTACTTCTGATTGAAAACATTGGACCATGCAAAAAACGAGAATTCAAATTCGCTCGAAATTAAGGTATATTTATTTATTCAAGTTTAACTTCATTTTTTTCCCTCGGAAATCATGATATTACAAAGTAATAGCATGGCTTTCTGGAAAGATTAGGAATTAAATGTCTCATTCTTTAAAAAATCGTCAAAAATCATTTTTAGTCAAAGTTACATTTTGTCACATTTCTCAGTGTCAACATGTCTCGGCAGGATGTTTGTTTCTACTGTTTGTATTTCAATGATCACCACGTTCATTCCCAGAAATTTGATACAGTCACTAACTGTTTGATGTAAACACGCGGGCTCATGAATAAGTAATTCAAGGGCACGGAATTTTAACAGCATACAAGTGGTTTTCTTACTAAAAATCTACTTATATATCTAAGTTCCATCATGCTCTCTGAGCTGTAATTTCCCTTTATATTTAAAAAGCGACCTCATCTAACAAATCTTCTTTGTATTGTTTCGTTCGGGTKGCATAGTGTTTTGCATGGTCTCTCACCGCTGTGGTCCAGGTTCGATTCCCGGACAAGGACCATATGTGAGTTTGAGTTTGTTTGATGTGTTGTTCTCTACCTTGCCACGAGGGTTTTTCTCTCGGTCCTCCGGTTTTCCTCACTCATCAAATATCAACATGTGAGGAGTGCTGCATTCTAAAAATACTTAATGTAGAGGTAGTAAGTGTGAGTTGTTGATGGCCCAGTGGTAGATTAGTCTGTGACTAAACTGGTTTACCATCATTAAATAAAGTTTATTATGGAAAACTTTATTGGAATTGACTTTTCAATATCGGCTCTTTACAACATTGCGGGCGTAGCATAGGCAATGTGTAAATATATACGTTCTATAAATATGTGAAAGAAAAAAATTCAAAAAATTAGTAAAAATTATAAAATTAATTAAAAAAAATAATAATAAAATGGAATAAAAACTATTTCGCTCGCAGGGCAATTCAAGTCATACATTGACATAAATACTGGGACGAAAATCTCTTAAGGCAATTTTACAATTCTGCGAGATAATCCATTTCTGTGAACGTTCAATTGTTAGGTCTTGCAGTGTTCGGTTTTAATAGAATAGTCATTTCCTTGTCTTTATAGTATGAATCAAGAAAATCAAATACARTAGTCGTGATAAATTTGACTTTATAACCTGGGTACAATTTCTTTATCCCCATTCTTGGTGTTTAGGAGTTGTTGTCTGATGCTTGTATCGATTGACATTTCAAAAACTCTTACATAATTAATGAGTTATTAGCTATGTGACAGGGGTTTAATATGTTCAGTTGTTTATTTATTGGGCCTTGGTAGACTCTTTTAAGGAGTCGCGCTTTGTGCGTGACAGAGAGTTCGACCGCGGTACCGGCCAAAAGTAGAGTACGGAGACGTCAATTGCACCCAGCCTTGAAACATATGTACGAGTGCTCAGGAACAGAATAAAACCGACGTCGTTACAGCTAGGTCAATAGAATGAGCCTATTTGGTCACATACATGGAGCTTTATATCTGATAAAACACTCCTTATTAGTATTCTTTATAGAAAGAATACTAATAAGGGTGACCTTTATCAGATATAAAGGTCCATGACCCTAGCAAAGATCTAAGGTTTGATAACTGATCATTGACCAATGCAGGATGTCAACCRACTTCAGTAAACAGACAACAGCGCTTCTATTTTACTTTATGTGTATTCAATGTGGGATGACAAGAGTGCTTTGTAAAGTGATTCGCGCATGATCAGTCTGCCCTATTTATCTCAAAACATATTTGTAYGTCAATTTCTCCAAGAATTTTAACGGATTTGAGTTTCAAATTAGTGTTTCAGTTTTTGAAGCCGTTTAAAACACTCGAGATCGTGTTTTAAACTATACAAAACACTCTCTCTCTCGTGTTTTAARCTATACTTAAAGATGTCATATGAACCATTTGATATTTCAGAATCATTACAGTGTTGGATCACAACTTTACCAACCCAAGGTTGGTTATGTAGATATTTCATACGTTTGTCAATGCTCGCTTTGTTTATAACGTTCTTTATTTTCTTTGGTTCCTTATAAMTTATACGTATTTCTCTATGGCCGTATCCAAAGACTGAAAGACTGTGTCGTTATCATTGAAGTCGCAGTCTATGTTTAGCTCTTCTGCGTTCTTTCTGGCATCTTTAAATATTGAAATTACTTTGTTCTTTTTTCATCTGGAAGGACTTTACGAGCTTGATATGTTGATCTTCTGAATTATTAATGTAGTTGGCTACCTTCAACTTCAATCTTGTACAACGTTTCTAGTTCGACTAATCCTTTCCGCCTTGTTCTRGATGTAGTACAGGAGTGGTATGGGATTCATACTTGTGTTTTTCCACGACTTATCATTGATGGTSGTTAAGCRGCCAGTTGGTTGTCCACATATAATACTGTRAAACAGGTATGGCATAAACATTAGTGGCACGAACTTTACGTGCTAATYACAATGGAGAGGTCCAAATGGCCCAAAGTCGCATTTCATACTCTTCAGAAGCTTCTTCAATAACTATATCTTCCAGGTGTTGGATGTTCTGGTATTTTCCTAAGAATTGGTAATGATCTCCAATGCCTAGAAATGGTATGGAGCAGTTGTTATTTACAGGTATTTCAGTTTTGTTGCAGCTAGTTTCCAGTTTTCCACGTTTAACATGGATTGCAGCGCATTTGTTGATTCCCCATCCTAAACCAATGTCTGCAAACATCTTCTTGATCTTTTTTGACTAGTTACTGCCTTTTGCTGAGATCGATGATAGGTTTTCAAATCGTCTACAGACAGACCGTGGGTGATCTTTTTGTCTGGGGCATTCGATAGTTTATATCCCTCCGTAATCCTAAGACACCATTCSATAGGGCTCAGTGACAAGGTGTTTTGTTATTAGCGGGCTAGMTGTGCTAGCCAGCTATAGTTTTACCTTTTCTCCACTCTGTCGTGTCGCAGTTTCCAGTCTCTCTCGAACCACAGGAAGCCATATCTATCATATCTATCATATCTACATTGCCAGAAATTTGGGTCAAGATGGCGACGCGCATGCGTTGTAACGTGCAAAAATAAACAAAATGGCTTCCAATTTGTATAAGGAAATGTATGGCCAAGAATATATTTCAGTATTTGTGGACAAAACAAAGCATTATTAACTCGGTGCGCGACTAAAAATGATCAAAGTATAGCTCAATCTTTGTACTCACGGCAACAACGGTTAACAATGAACAGAAGATTTTCTTCCTGGGCAGTTTTTTTTTATAGGTCCTTAAGCCTTCAGATCTCTCATACATTTACACTAAAATCGTCCAAGGTCCATGTACATATCAGTCCGTTTGAGGTAGAAGAATATCCTGTACGGTAAGTGCGCGACTTCAAATCAACACAACAGTGTTTAAACTGTCTAAATCACCAGAAAAAAAACGCTGAATCGCTTGTCAATTTTCTTCCTGAAGRACCTAAACATTGCAAATAATTGCCTAGTACATAAACAGCCATTTTGTTTTGCTAAGCTAGCCCGCATCACGCTTTACAAGCGTCTAGTTTTGTTCTTAATCTCAGATCTCATCCATTTCCTRTYTTTTYTTAGTTTTGACGTCAGCTTTCCGTTTGTTGTTAGTCTCCTTATTTCTTYCGTTATTTGTGATGTTTGTTTACGCAGTTTGGTGATTTGATTGTCGACGATGCGCATCCATTTTGGTCGTTGATAAGTAGTTGCTTTTGGTTTTGGTTTTCCATTATTTCCGGTGTAGTTTTTTCACGCAACAGTAGTCGCATAAATTGCACAATTAAGTTCCCAGGTATTGAGTTGGGCTGGCTTCCGTCAATGATGTTACAAGACCTTGAACTATTTCATTTAGCGCTATTAGATCTTCTTTTTTGGGTAAAATTCTAACGAATTCAATTTGCGGAGATGAAAAATCTGGTAGTTAAGACATTTTTTTATGACGACGTTAACAACCGCATGTGAAGTGTTTTTTATGGTGTTCCTACAAGGAAAGTATGGCGGCTGACGGCTATTTTGATAAGTATTTTAATTTGATTTTGGAACCGCTTTAGGACTTCGAAACTGCTCATTTTATATCGTCATATCAAAGACAATANGTGCGAAAATAGTGCGGTAAGTTGCACCGTATACGTTTACCACTCATACGAAATTGACTCTAATGATCAAGAGTTATCGTTAGAAAGGAAATCACACAATAAAACAAATAACCCCCCACAGATGCAGTAAGTAAAACTTATTACCGCATCTGTGGGAGTCCATACAAACTATTCTGTCATCAGTGTTAGATGACATGTTCGATTGAAATTTTTAAAAAGTCTTAATTTTTAGAAAGTCTTAAAAGACTTAAAAGTCTTCGCCATTTTGTCAAAATCCCTCATATCGATTTTATCTTCTGGTTTATCATGTTTGACAAACCTTACTTTTCAAAATCTGGATTTTTCTTCCTTAATAATATCGACGTCCGAACAGCAAAGGAAGAAGCGAGCGGAAGTTCGATGTCCTTCGTGAGCGTTTTATYATTATCGACAAAAGTCTTTTGGATTCTTTCTAGAAGTATAGCTAGCAAGAAATTTAGATGTCTTGACAGCACATATATGTTCCAGTTAAGGACAAATCATGGCTTTTGCGCCGAGGACTCCATAGATAAGACTGTGCCGCCGTTTCTGAATGACGGACCCGTACACGGTGTCACCGCTCAAAGACTTCAAAAGAGGTCTCTGTTTACAAAAAGGATTACGAGAAGATTTATCATTTTTTAATAATGGATGTGCCGTCGATGGCCTTTTGATAAATGCCCGAAATATCCATTAGTAAAAAAATGATAAATCTTCTCGTAATCCGTTTTGTATTCCAACTTTATACCAAAAAGAATATATTTACTYAGGTCTCTGTTTCAGACAAACAATGGAAATCTCCCCTCCTTGATCCGCTCCGGACTTATATATACAAACTACGAGCCTCAATTTTGTTGATCATCAGTTTAAAATTTACATTTAATTTCAATGCTTACTTTACAAATGAGATTATGACGTCGATCATAGCAACCGGGAAACCTGCAGTTTTCGAAATCTATTTCGAAATGGCTTGTAATAATCGTCACATCATGATGATTATGCAAATCGAAATAAAATAAGCTTCAACTTATAAAGCTGTTCTGATCTTCTCATGTTAAAAAATGACTTTAAAAGTTTTCTTTTAATGAAGGCATGTCATCAAAATGTATTCACACAGATGTGTTGAACTGACAMTTGTGATTTTCGCTGTTTTCGATTGTGGCAGTTTACCTACTCGACTAAATCATTAAAACTAACCTAGGGATATGTTCGATAATTTTGGTATTTTTCTTGCAGTTTACTCATCAACCGGGTATGTGGACACGTCGTTGTTTAAAAATCGAAGTTTTCATTTCTTGGAATAGTCTGCCTATCACGCTATACTTAAAAGAGCAGTGGATTCTGATAAATATTATTTTCTATTTGATCTCCGCCGCTATTAGATGTAATATTAATATTAGGTTCTAGTTTTATACTTACTTTGATAAAACCTGTCTCTAGGAAGAACAGTTAAAGTTAAATAGCCAAAAACGCCCAAGAGGAAGATKGAGACTAAAACAAGCCGATATCTTGTCTGAAGCATTGTGCCCTGGGAAAAGATCCTCCGGCCTTGTGTGTCACTTACATCTAAAATGTCATTTTTTCATCATTAAGTATGGATGGATTCATCCAATCAAATCGCACAACTCTGAAGTTAGCAGCCTGTTCAGCAGCAAGTATAAAACTCTTTATAATTGGCTTTTATAACAAAAAATTAACAACGATATAAATCTTTTTCTCTAAACAGACATGTATACAGTATGTATATAGTATGTATACGGGTTATCTTCTCCTGAATTACTTTATTCTTGAACGATTTTTTTCATTGAAAGGGATTTTGAGCTAAATTGTCTACAATCTCACAACGCCAATGTGGCGCCCTTCTTTCTTTATTTTTTTCTTCCTGGCAAACGTTTTCAAGAAAAAAAAATAGCTTATAACATTTTTGGTCAAAAACGGGTCGTATTTTTTTTAGTTAGGAAATTTTTATTTTCCTGTCAAAAATCCTTTAAAAGTAGTCCTTGCCTGAAWAGTTCTTGTTTTCTGAATTTCTTGTTTTTTTGGTAACCAGTTGTGACTTACAGCTGGCTGGGACATAGGAGCAGTTATTATATATCAAGTGTCAAATTTCACTTTTCCTAGTTATAGTATTCATATTGTGTTATTATATTGATTGATTTTAGTGACATTTGACTATTTGTATTGCCATTTCTCAGTCATTTTATCAAAATCTTTATTAAAATACTTCATTTATTTACTTTTTTGTTCTCTTTGACACTTGAAATGATAATAAAGCACTTATTTACAGGAAACCTCCGGAAACAGTAAGTTTTGCTGTCCCTCGACCGCTGATGTTTCCCTCAGCTTCGCTCAGCTTCGCTTCGGGAAACATCAGCGGTCTCGGAACCACGAAACATACTGTTTCTCTCGGTTCCAGTAAATAAGTGTTAAATGTATATCCCGTCGGCCCCTCCTATGCATAACTATATACTATATAAAATTTGGAAAAAGAAAATCGCAAATGAGGGTGTGAAATCTTCCACCTAAGTTGCGAAAATCACAAAGAAATCCCAAGCAAGTTTTCTGATTTTTCTTAAAAATCTCGTCTCTAAATAGCACATTTCAAAAACAAATTTCACATTGTTTGTCTTTTTAGAAAACACAACTTTTTACCGGAAGAAAAAATGAATCGTAAATCGGAGAATTATGTAATGCAAAATACTTTGATCGTCACGGAAAGATTATCTATTTGTTACTGCACTTCCGGTGAAAATGTTCATTTTGCCTTAAAAATTAACTGTAGAAAGTTTGATAGCAATTGGTTGGGTTTAAGATACGGATAAAACAGGATAAGATTTTTACAGTCACTTTGCAGTTTTCATCGAAATTTAGCCCAAAATCTTGGCCACAATCGCTATTCTTTGTCAAACTTGCCGCCATATTGTCTCGCATATTGCATTGCATAATACTCTACGAAATCAAAACGATTCAAAAAAGTTACGAATATCTTTGGAAATGAAAGTCCCATGTGCCCTCCTTTGTTTTACGCGAAATTTGCAATGTAATCCCGTAGCGACGCTGAACTCAGCATGCGGGCTTTCCTGTAATGATCTGCATAATGTGAGCCAGACCGTCTTGCATTTGAACATAACTCATACCGAAAACATCTGAAATACTCAATGTCGCTGTCTCTAGTGCTTATATCAAGCTATATTTTAGTAATCAACTATTGTATTACTAAATGGAGAATGTTCAACAGCTCTAAACGAAAAATATTCTCGTATTCCAGGTACTGAACGGCATGATACATTGAACTCAAAACATAAATTAAAACGATCAAACTGTGAAATGTTATCTCGTATTTCATAAACAAAGCAATTTTTCCGCAATTTTCTTCTTAGATACGAAGTTCTCGATTGGTTTTTAAGTAGAAATCGAACTTTTCATATTTCAAAACATTTCCTAGCATTTAGTTATGCCTAAAATAGCCTATTGAACGCTAAAACCGTTGGGTATTTTTTTGAACGCTTTGCCAGGT